AGTTTTAGTATGGTTTACGTATACCTACTAAAGACGTATTTAGTCAGTGTCGACCACTTAATTAACATTTAATTTAGGTAGGGGAGGTTTTAGTTTTCTAAGGCATACAAAAAAAAAATCTTTTCAGCAGTGGATGGAGGTAAGAGCTGTTTGTTCTGTCGTGAGGTGAGTAGTTTCTGAAGAGGACATTCTTGTTTCTAACTGATTAAGTGTTTTTTTTAATGTCTTATTTGACAGAATTAATTTGGATTCTCATATGATTTCTTTGTATGCTAGAATATTGTAGTGTATGTGTAGATTTCTATATACAAGAATGAAATAAATATACATTAAGTGTTGCAAGCGTGGGGAAGTTGCCAATGGCCATTTTCACTGAAAGTCCATGAACAATACAAAGAGTTACTGCAATCATCTTATCACTCTTAAGATATTACCTCCTACAAGCACACACACACACATTATTTACATATTTTTTATTATAGATGATCGACTTACAGTATTATACAAGATACATGATATATATATATATATATATATACCCAATCATAAGATGTTTCACTTCCCATAAATCCATGATTAAGAGTTGATGAAGAAGTAAACTCTAAAGTTATTTGCTGAAAAACTTCATGTATCTTTGCTGAAATCTTATGAAGTGAAATAATTTAATACCACTAAACTGATGAACTAAATACTTGTTTATCACTTTCATCTCTTTTTCCTTAAAAGGTGTTATCTCCATCAGAAATGCCATTTTTGTAAAATTTTACTGGATCAAAGTTGTAGTTCTATGGTGTTGACAAGACAACTATCACACAATTTCATGTGCAGTGTATCATAAACTGCTGCATTACTTAACAAAATTGAATGAATATGATCATACAAATTTCCTGATTTACAAGTACATTTTGAGAGACTAGTTTGAAGTGTCATATGGCTTTGAATTAACACCAACCAAGACATTTACCTCCTTCTCGCCAAGTAACTTCACAAATGAAAGTAAAAAATAATCATTAAGAAATAATAAAAAAAACATAAAATGCTTTTGCAAAAACAAAAACATATAAGCAAGAAATAATAATTACAAGCAAAGATACTGAAACCTTCTAATAAGTAATATATGTATTAAGTGTACAATGTACATGTTAACCTTTAATATACCAAAACCATTATAAGTAATGTACAAACCCAAGCAAGTACAATTTCAATAAAAGTCAGTAAAGGTTGGAAAATTTCATGAAGTACAAAAAATGTTACAACAGTGAGTTAAAATTAAGATGAAGCACAATGATAAAATGATTCACAAAATAAACCTCATTAAATTTAAAATACAGAGTGTGACAGAAGCCATCAAGCATTATTTCAACTATGAATATGAATGACACTCACTAAAAATAAATATTATGCACAATTTTGAGTAAACACAGGCTAATAGAAAGAGATGTTGTCAACAAAATAAACTTTAAATCTGCACTGTTTAAAAGTTTATTCCATCTAATATGTTGAACAATGTTCATTTGTTTGTTTGTAATTAAGTTCAAAGCTACACAATGGGGTGCTCTGCTCACCATGGGTACTGAAACCTGGTTTCTAGTGTTGCAAGTCCACAGACATACTGCTGTGCAACTGGGGGGCAACAATGTTCATATCAGGTGACAGACCTCCATGAAAATTGTTGATCAGTCATTTATGAACAATCATAACTGTATAGTTTCTTGTTAATAACTTAATAATACATATTTCCACTGATTCATGATAAAACATGTACGTTTTCTTTGCATCTGTCAATACACCCAGAATCAGCGTCATTTAGTGTTTGGCTACAGTAATAATCCCAAGTTAACCAAGCTCATGTGAAAATAAACTTATGGAATCTAAACAAAACTTCACAATACCAGCTGGTTTAAGAATGCGTTCACAATCACAGTTAATCATATAACTGGCCTTTCTTTCCACCCATATTTTTTTTTTTAACCTTACTAGTCTTTAGCTTACAAGATACAACAAGTCAATATCATATACAATATAGCATTTGATGTACAAATTATATAATACTACGTCCTCTAGTATTGGTACTGGGTAACACAACTCATATGTAACAATTAGACTATCGACATGTTTAATCAACAAATGAAAGACAAATTACAAAACTATATTCACATAGTAACACTAAGAAAAGTAAAATAACATTATTACTATTAACACTAACAGTCAAATTAAGAATGTGAAACTTAGAAAGAGAAACGAAAAAAGAGAGCATAAAACAAATATAACAATTAAAATTAACATATGACCGCCTCGTTTAACAAAAATTAAAATTTTTGTTGTTAATTATTCACCAGGTCACTTCTATCTTTAATTTTAACTTAAAGTCATACCACTAAGTTTAATCTAAGTTAAAATAAAATTTAAAGACCTCGTCTACTTCCGTAATGATAAACAAGCACATATAAGCGCGACATCTCGTAGTATAAACAATTACTCATTGAAATGGTTTCGTTTTCTTACTTAAAAAATACAAATAAAATAATTATATCACAACGTTCGTTTCAATATTTCTGTAATTTTGTTAATCCCTTTTTCTATATTAGTTTTATAATAGAAATTTG